GCTAAGCTCATCGAATTGAAGTACTTCCAAGCAAGTTCCATTGCACAGACCTTGTGTTATAGAGAGGTTTCTAAAAAGCATAATAATTACTCCAACTTAAGGTCATAGGGAGGTATTCTAGAAGGTACAAGAGAGGATAATTCCAGGCTGCTTCTTCATTATCAGAAATTACAGAATCGGTGTTTAGATATGTTTTAGTTTCAGTGGGAAATCTACTTAGAGCTTCTTTATTTACTGCTAAGCAGACCAAATTTTTAGGGGATAAGATATATATATATATATATATATATATATATATATATATATATAAATAAAGTGTATTAATATATAGACTGCACTTGCCATGCCCCTGGTTCAAACGTGTATATTAGCTTTCTTAAAAATAGATGTGATTCATTTCCACACTTAGAATGCCCCCAGTTCAATTCACAAGGTCTGATTGATTAAATGTAAAAAAAAAATTGTTATTTCTTCAAGAACAAAATGCAACTTTAAAAAAAAAAAGCTTTGGTTCCAATTTTTTTGCTATATTATTAACAAAAAAGAAAGTGTGACAGACACAGATGGACAGTAGGTAGGTAGGTATAAGCATATTAATGTATAGATGAATTTCTGACCACTAATTACACCTTCTCTCTGACCAAACTAAGGATCTGTTAAAATAGCTTGAAAATAGCTTTGCTTGTTTTTTTTGTTTTTTTAAAACATTCTACAATATTTTTTCAAACTTCATTTCATGGAAACTTTCATTTATTGTTGTAAAATATATTCACAATAATTTTGGATGCAAAGTCAATTCCTTTTTCTGTGTGTTCTTCACAAGTAAAAACATATTTTGGAAAATAAGTTTCCAAAATTCTTTCAGCAGACTCTCTTGTAATGGATTCATTACATTTTACAATAAAATTATTTGCATAGTAAAGTATAGCAAAACAAGCACAAATGAACTCTACCACTTGGCAAGATGGAACCATAAGACCTCCTCAAGAAAGTATATCAATGTACACTTCTCTGTAGCATCATTGCTATCATTGCCTACCATGACCAGGAAACACTTTTCACGCTGAAAACATCCAATTAATTCTTTTGAATTTTCTCTAATAAACAAAAAGATGGTAATGGAAATTTCTCCAGAAGTAATTTGTACTCTTATTGAGACTTAGAGTACAGTAGTAAAACAATGTATTAGTTCTGCAGAAAATGAAGAAAGACCTCTTGGTTGGTAATGTCTTTTTGTAAATCTTTTAGAATTCAGTATGGCTGTTCTCCCACCATGTTTTGTATGTAGTTTTTATAAACCACTGTGGTAGTGGTATAGAGGTTCCATCGCACTCGAGCTGGACATGAAGGTTTTGGTTAATGCAAATACATTCTTTTATGATGGAAAATGTGCTTCAGGGTCAAAGACTATTCTATAAATTAGAATACAATCTTCCTTTTTTGTTAAATTCAAAACTGTTAGGACTACACTTTAAAATCCTTTATCATATCAGCTGAAATAAAATCATGTAATTCATCAGTTTGGACCATTTGTTGTTTTGGAGGCTTTCTGAATTCCCTTGTATTCAGCAACAAAAGAAACGATTTTCTTATTTCTTCTGAAAGTATTGTAGGTATTGGATGTTAATCCCAATTCAGTTTGTTTTGTTTTTCTTTCAAAATAAATTTCACTTTAAAATTTTTTATACAGAGAACAAATTTTTTTTGCAAGAAATTAATCAATATGATTAATAAATTTTATCCATTTTTCTATGAGGTCAAATTTTCCAAGAGGAAAAGAAAATGTCGATACTTTTCCACTGTTAGTAACATATCCACCAGAACAGCCAAATGCAACACATTTGTTAACCATTTTTGTTAAACAAGATATCACAAACTTTATAATGTAATCTTTAAATACAATGGACTATGAGGTAGAAAATTTAACTAATAACCAACCTTTTTTTAAAACAGGCTGTATACTCAATTGAAAATCATAAAAGCAAGGTAACTCACAACCGTTTATAATTTGTGGATTAGTAAAAAAAAAAAAAAAAAGGTGTAAATACGCATTTTAGTGTTGAAAACATGTCTAAGGAATTGAAATAATGTCTGATAAATTTTACGTAACTGTACATTGTTAATTTATATTTTAAGAATTCAATTTTTAAAGTTACCTCTCTTTTAGATTAGTAATTTTCTAAGCGGCCATTCATATTTTTTTGTTGACATTACATCAGCCTGCTAGAATTCAACTTGTTATGTGACATGTGGGGCCGTATAATACTAGTTGGCCATGGATGAACCCAATTTTCAAAAAATGAGTGCAAATGTAGAAAATTTAACACTTTAAAGACATTGCTGATTAGAATTATTGAATTTATGCTTAGTAAATGCATTACAATTTAAGGAAAAGACAAAGTAATTTATATATTTCTGTGTGAATTTTTGTGATGAGGAGTTAACACTCAAACTATTGCCTTCATCTTTGTTATTATTTGCAGTATATTTTTTTTTCCAGTACATTCCTTTTTTCATTACCCTGAACCAGATATTGTCTCACCGCAATCAGGCTCAGAATCTAGGCTTATCAAAAAAGTCCTATCTAAACACATCATTGGTTGGAAATGTCTTCATTCTAGATAATGGATGGGGACAATGTTTTAAATAAATTTTGTATTCTATCATAAAAATAAATTTTTTTTCATTCAATGCATTCCTCAGGGAATTTCTCTTAAAATTGTTGGAGCTGATAACTGAATACAGAATTTTGCATGGTACTAAACAAATAACAGTGAGTAGATGACAGGTCTGGAGAATATACTGAAAGGAGAAGAATGTCCCATTGCAGCCCTGTGATCATTTGTGGCTGACATGTACAACATAAAAACAGTTATTGTCATGTCGTTTACTGGTTGAGTTCTTTGCCTACAAGAAAATTCTTTTTCTGTTTTACTCTGTTATTCAAACAAGCCAGTTACTTGTTGAAACATTGTGCAGTAACAGTTTGTTCAGGTTTCAGCAATTCCTAACAAAGAATACTCCTTTCAATTCCACCAAAAATGCACACAGCCCCCCTCCCCAGTAGATTCTGTTTAGTTTGAGATGTTGAAGACTGTTTTGACTTCCTGTCAGAAATGTAATTTTCATCACAAATTATTACTACAACTATTATCATTATTATCATATTAGAATTCTGCTTGTCCCTTAATTAGTGCATACATTATGCCCTGCCATTTCCTCAGATAAACAATCGACCATTCCTGTTTGATTGCAAAGATAGAAGAAAAGATTGATCAAAACCACCATTTCATTTTAGCGAAAAGAAAGAAAGAATGACAAGTTAGAGGAGGTGATAATGTTCTTATGTGTTTAACGTCTGTTTCAGTGAAATAGAAAACCTTGTAAATTTCAGATTTTTTTTCATTTGTACCCTCTTACTTCTTTAAATAATGACCTGCATTCATATTTATGATTATTATTGTAATATTTTGTTAAAGTTGTTAAGCTCAAATATTTAATGAGGCTATAGGAGAATTTCTTTGGATATTTCATTTTGTGAAATTTTTATGAGTATTGTTTGCTATTATTCTCATAGCAACAGCATCTGACATGCCAACAGACCTTTCTCCATTAGATGTTGTTCATTGTCTGTTTTCTTCTTTGGTCGAGTGATATGTTCATGTGACCTAGATATTGGGTTTTCTTACAAGCACTTTCTTCATCGGCTTTTGGAAGATTTCTACCCAAGCCTTTTTGGGTTCAGGTCAGATGTATCTTTTTGAGGATAATGAGTCTCCATCCTGATTGTCCAGACAATTTCAATTTTTACTAAACAATCAATACTGAAGCAGAAATTTGTCTACTTTGTCTGTGGATGGTATTATTGCGCTTACAAACTGAAACCATTTGATACCAAGGAATGTTTGTTGGCATTGCATGTCAAATACATCAATGCTTCTGCTGACCAATTGCTTCATTGACTAATTCTTACTGTCAAATAACAGGACAAAAGAGTTATATATGCAGAGATTTGTTTTTAGGGAGACACTCGTTCTGTGCTCTTGGGTACTATTTAGTTTTTTTTCAAACCTGTTACAGCTTTTATAATCTGACTAGACATTTCATGATCAATGGTGCCATCCAACAAAATTGAGAAGCCTAAGTATGTAATGATTTGAACAACTTTCACAGGTTCAACATCAACTCTTAAGGAAAGTGGAAGTGTGTTATCTGGGGATATGGACATTAGCTTTGTCTTAGGTTAATTGATTTTTATACTCACTTTTGTTGCTTCTTTGCTGAATGTTGTAAGGATCAGTTGAACATGGATAGCAAATAGTGCTATGTCATTGGCATGATGAAACCCATAAACTCAGCTCTGATTCAAATTTTCCTAGGTGCCAAGCATATTGTTTATGAGATGATCTGTGATATACTTGAAAAGATCAAGGCAATAGAAAATCCTCTACAAATATCTTGATAGAAGTAAACATACCCATGACTATTGGTACTGCCATGGTCAGTTTGATAGCAATCTGAAGACCTGGAAAAGTAACCAAAAGGAATTGTGATCACTATTGTCAGATGTAGTTTTGAAGGTAAGGCAGAATGGTTGATTGTATTCTTTGTCTTTTTCTGGGATATGATACAGTCCAAAATACAAAAAAAAAATGCTGTTGTCCAGTGATAAAAAATGATCTCATCCAAAATGGCTTTTCTGTGTCAAACAAGAAGATTGATTTGTTTTTCTATGGCTTATCAACCTTTTGCAGGTTATTTAAAGCCAGAAAATATTTTTTTAAATTGTAAGAATTTTTTTTCTTTTTTGAGATAACAATGGTTTAGTGATACTAACCTTACTAATTAAACCATAGCTGAGGTGGGAAAAGAGGTGGATTCATACCCTTACCAAGGGTTTTTGCTCATAAGTGATTATAACAAACCCAATATGAATTTGAACTCGACTCTCCGATTAATAATTCCAAGCAATTATCCTTTACACCACCCACACATCCATGCTTGCGGCACCTGACATTCCAAAATGGTCACCCATCTAAGTACTAACCAGGCTTGACATTGCTTAACTTCGGTGATCATACAGGAATTGGTGTTCTAATGAGATGTGACCATAAGCCCTCTCAAACAAGAAGATTGATTTGTTTTTTATGGCTTATCAACATTTTGCAGGTTATTTAAAGCCAGAAAGTATTTTTAGATTGTAATATTTGTTTTTGAGATAATTATTTACTGATACAAGTTCTACTAATTAACCCATAGCTGAGGGAGAAGTGATGAATTCATATCTTTACCAAGGGTATTTTTGCATAAGGGAAAATAACAAACATGACTGGGTTGGAACTCAGTTCTCTGATTTCTAATTCTAAACTTACAAGTCCTGGTGTTCCCAAGCAGTCACACCTCAAGATCAAACAAGAAAAGAAAGATATTGAAATATTGACATATTCCTTTGTAAAGGTTCAGATGCAATCCATTTTCCTATCACTTTAATGTTTTTTTTAAGGTTTCTAAATGACGTATTGCAGTTGACTAATTGGTTTCCTTCACATTGTGAAAATGGAGCTTTTGGGGGAAATGGTTTAGTAAAATACTGAACCAGAATTTATTACTTTTGGATAGGATAAGTAGAGTTTTTCTATGATCATAGAATTAATTCATTGATTTGTTTTTTTTTATGAATTATCAACTTTTTCGTAGATTATTTAAAGCTGAAACATTTTTGTAGTGTAAAAATAATTCTTTTCTTTTTGTGAGTGAATATTGTATTAACAATTTTTTGGAGATAATAATGATTTTCAGATACAAGTCATACTATTTAACCCATAGCAGGATGGTAGAAGAGGTAGATTCCTACCTTTCCCACGGGTATTTGCACATAATTGAATGTAACAAAACCAACCAGAATTCGAATTCTGCTCTTTGATTTCTCATTCTGAACACCACCTGTACATCCAAGCTTACAGCGCTTGGTATTCCGAAGCAGTCAACCATCTAGATAATGACCAGTTTCAGTATTGCTTAACTTTGATGATCAGATGAGAATTTGTGTTTCAACAAGACATGGACATAGAATTAATTATGAATCTGTAGGTAGTAAGGTAATTTGTGATGGGAGGGTTTATGTATTTATGTAGAACAAAGGGAATGTAATTAGGTGCATAACACTAAGTCTCATCTATAAATGCTTGGACCAAATTCAGAATCAGTTTAAAAGCGTTTTTCTAGTAATAAAACAAATCTCTTTCAGGTAAGAACTTTATCTTTTGCTTGTAAATCTTCATCTGTGATTGTTTTTTTTTTTGGTGGGAGGGGTAATTACAATTTAAAGATGGAAGTAATTTTCTAAGGAATTACAAGATTCAGTGATGACCTTAATAAAAATGTTAATGTTGCTTTTAATTAGTAGCCACTACACTTAGGTAGAGTTAACCTAATTACGAAGTCATTTTTTTATCTTCATAATTTTCAAATACAGGCTGTATGCAAGGATGGCTCACAACAGCACCTTCTATATCTTTAATATTTTTAAATTGCCATGATTGTTCTAAGATAAGAGTGGTTTCCTTTTGACTTCACCATGGTTTTGATTTCAAAGCTGTACTTCTCCAAGACTGGTTCCAAACCAAAACTACAGAGTCCATACCACTGTACTATTTAACCCATTGTTGGTAATAGAGTAACAATGGATCCATTCCCTTCCCAAAGTAATTAATGTTTAATGAATCTGACAGCCTCAGCTAGAATTTGAACTCACCCTGCCTATTCCAATGATAACAATTGTGTCACTGGTGGATTTATAATTGTTGTTGTAAAAGTTGAGGCTAATCAAATTTTTATTTAAAAAAAATGAGTGAATATTTAGTTTTACTTTTGACATTAATATAATAATTTTCAAGTTTATCTTTATGTAATATTCAGATGTTAACCATTTTGAATCGATATTCTATGGTTTGACTTGCAATTTTCTAATTTATTAGATGCTTTAAGTTTCATTTCAATCAAACACCAGCAACAGTGAGTTTCTTTAAAACCTGATACTTCAAAAAGGAAACGTCAAGTTGAATAGATTTCCATTATCTTGAGGATTTTATATGCAAATAGCTCAGGGAAATTAAATACAAGCTAATGAAAAAAAATAGATGATGGGCTGAGACGAAAGTAATTTTCTCAAAAATTGACTAATTTTTTTGTTTATTATTGTTATTATTTTCTTATTTGTTTTTCAGTCACATTTGATGAAATCTTAAATCCAAATGGCATTCCATATGGCATTATTACTGAAGCTACTTAAAACTGAATGGTTGTCTGCTTCCATATTTGTCTCACTCTGTTTGGCAAGATAATTAAATTTCTTCTCTGGAAATGGCAGAAATAATAACCTATTGACAATGTTCTCCCTTCCATTCTTATTATAAACCTTTGTTTTTTTATTATTGTTCTCTTTTATTTTATTTTCCATAACGATTATATAATTATTATTAACACCTGTTGGACAGATTAACATTATTTATATTACTGTTATTACTTTTATCAATGATATATCCTTAATCACACTTACAATAATCCTAACAAATGAAAAATATATTTTTTTTATAACTGCCACAACATAATCTTCATTGTCATTATCAGTATCATGAATAATACAGCAGTTAATTATTCATAGAAAAATGCTAAAAATTACCAAGCAAAGTACATTTTTATTTGGGTTGATAGAAAATAGTGTGCTCTGAAATTTTTTTCTGACATTTCAAATTGAATATTTCTTGTTATTTTTCTCAGAAAAATAGAAACAGAACCTATGATTTTTTTGAATTTACTTAACATAGGAAACTTAATATAATAAAGTGATCAAAGAAAAATGAGTGTATATATATATATATATTAGTTGTAGTTCCTTGTGTCCTCCAAGTTTGTCTATCACTCAGCAATTCTCATTAACATTTTACTAGTCACCAACAACATAATGTTACCTTTTTTAAGGGTTTGAGTTGTGCTGGCCTTGTTCAGATTATTGATCATGCCAGGTAACACGCTCACTCCCAGAAACTGTAACTAAGGTCTGCTCAACAGAGTTGTAGTATAAACAACAGGTGGGCTCTGTGGCTGTTGAACAAACACAAAATGTGTCTGAGCGAGAGTCTGCAACAGGGATTAGTTAGCCACACTAGTAGACGGGTATCCTCAGATATGACTGGCCAGCTATTATTATTATATATACTCAACTCTTCCTTCGAATTCGATGTATGAGGGTCAAGCAGATCAGTTCCTAGGAAACTGACAGCCTGACAACAGCACTTGAGATTTGATTATAGTGGTGAAGGTTTCATGCAGGACCATCCACACTTTTTGAAGGGCCAAATACAAAGAACTGGTGCACTATGTGCGACAAGGTCCCCAAACAACCCTCTGCAGGTTTTGAATTCAGAGTTGTCCTTCTCCTAGACCAGTTGCCATCCAAGGCTATAGAACCCATTCTGTCCTGCTATTTACCCATAGCTGATGGGAGAAGAAGAGGATTCACACCTTTCCCAAGGGTATTAGCACGTAAGTGAATGTAATGGATTCAAGTGGAATTTGAACTCTGCTCTCCGATTCCTCAATCCAAGTCGCTATCCATTTCCCCACCGTGCCTTTATTTATTTAGACACACACACACACACACATACATACATACATACATACATACATACATACATACATATATATATATATATATTGAAATTATCTCAGGTAATAATGCATAGTAAGACAGTATTTATTTCCTTTGGATTTTTATCTGTGGGTCCTCCTAAAACAATTGGTTTATGCAACAGACATTAATAACACATCATGGGAACCTGCAAAACCATTTGAAAGGGTCTGCCAGTCAATGATCCAATGGCCGCATGCATGTGTAGAAGCCAGAAGAAGACATATTGAATAATTGTTGAAGTTCAATGATGGCCTTTTTGGACACATGTTTATATGGATATTTTACCTTGTTTTGGTGTGAAGAACCCAACCCCCAAAGTTTGTAAAAGTATTTTTGATACATCCTGTGTGTGTGCACATATATATATATATATATATATATATATATATAAAGAAATATAGTCTTAAGATGTGCTATATTTATGGGATAAAGTGCTCAATATCAGAGATAGAGCATGTGTAAATATAAAAGTGAACATAAAAGTCAACACTTAGAGGCGACATGCTGTTTCATGGTGGCCCAACGATTGCGTCTAGCATGAAACAGACTGTCGCCTCTAAGTGTTGACTTCTGTGTTCACTTTTATATATATATATATATATATATATTTATTTCAAAAAAAAAAAAAAGAAAAGTCAAATTTATAATCTAGAGTTCTATTACATTTATTTTTTAAAAACAGTGCTCGATACACAGTAGAGCATAATATTATAATTATTATTTAAAAATATGTATTCATTGTGATTTTAAATAATATATATATATATATATATATATATATATATGTTTACTGCTCTAATGAGCTTTTTTCACTGGTACCCAGACTATGTGAGTTTAAGTCTGCTACTAGATTGGCATCTAGGTCCCACCCTTTTACTCTTAAAAAGCCGATGAAGAAAGTACTTGTAAGAAAAACTTCTACTCCAACAGCTTCTCTTCTCGCACTTCCCACCTGTGGAACTCCCTTCCGTTTCCTTGCTTCCCTGATAACTACAATCTTCAAAAATTTAAATGCAACATTGATCGCCATCTTCTATCTTCTTGAACCCCATTCAGCTTTTAACCTTTTCTTGATTCCCCTCTACCTGGTCTTTTCTCTCACCTTCACGCTCTGTAACCCCATGCATATTAGTGGCACTTCTGCCTTGCTTCGGGTGAAATGATTAAAAAAAGTATACAGTGGAACCTCAAAATACGAGTTTAATTCAATCCATGACCAAGTTCGTAAGTTGAGTAACTCGTATGTCAAAGCTTTTTTCCTCATTTAAAATAATCAAAATATCATTAATCCACTCCAATCCTCCAAATAAAACACTTTACTTTTTTTATACATACGTTTAAACATGACAAATATATTTTACTATAGTCTAAATAAAATAGAATACATGTATGAACATAATAGTATTAAATAGTGATCC